ATCTTAATAACTCCGCCCTATATAATTTAGTAAAGATCGAAGGAAATAGAAGAAAAGAATAAAATTATCATCTGACAATATTTACATATACACTAGCTTTAGTTTTGAAATCTACTACAATGCCTCCTCCATTATAGATGCCTCCCATCTTTAATAGAAGGCCTATTTTGGAAGGTGTTTGAAGACATTTCTTTGGACAGAAGTTGCAGACATACGCTAATACATAATAAAAAATGACCCTCATATCACTAAAAAATCTCTGGCGGAAGAAATGTTTCTTTTTTTAAAAATGTTTCAATATATTTTGCTTTATATATTTATTGTATGCCAAAACTTTTTAGAAAATTTTTCAAAATTTTTACAATTTGCGAAATTAAAAAAATTATAATATGTATCATAATATTCAAATAATTTATTATTGTAGTTTATGCCTATTTTCATTCAATTTAATAAAATTAACTCTAGCCCTTTTAAAGTGCTTTACCCACCCACAGAAAATTAATTAATTAAACATGTGTTTAAAGAAATTTTTTAATTTTTTTTCTACTATTTTTTACTTTGGTTTTCTTCTTTTCTCTACTTAAAATTTGCTAAATAAAAATTTTTTTATAAAATCACAGGATTAAAGAAATTTATTACTGTAGTTTATGCCGATTTTCATTCAATTCAATAAAATTAGCCCTTTTAAAGTGCTTTCTTTACCTTTTACCTCCTCAATCCTCGTGTCTTTTTTAAATAAAAATTTAAAAAATCAAAGTCAAATGACAAAATTTTTATTAAAAATTAAAAAAATATAAATATTTACTAAAAAATTGTTTTTAAAATAGAATTAAATTCAAAATTAAATATTTTCATAATTAACTTAAAAATAAAAATACTTTATATGTACACAATTTTTCTCTAAAATAGCCCTCCTCTAGAAGTCCATCGTAAAAAACTCCATGAGGTTATTTTACGGTATCTACGGTATCTCCTTTCCTACAATCGAGGAACAGCTTTATTGGTTATTAAATATTTCTGGTTTGGATTGTGGGTGAAGTTTTATTGTTGAATTAATCTGTTCAATTTAAGAATTAAACAGGGTCAAGCAGTTATGTAAATAAAATAAAAAATTTCGGGCCCTAAGTATAAATACAATTAATCGGTAAACAGAATGCAAAAGTTTATGCCGCGGCTTTAAAACAGTCGAAATTGAAAAAAATGCCGAAAGAGTCAACTGAGTTATCGCTTAAGCTATTTTTTAAGACCAAGAATGTAAACATTGATCAATCCTGAAAGGTTTTATGATGTTTTAAAGACGCGGCATAATCTTTTGCACGTCACTGTAGTTTTGTTTACAGGCCCCATTTTTTTCTCCCCAAGCTTTTTCGTATATTTGAACAGAATGGTCAGGCTTTTTCCCTTTTTCCAACCTAAATCCCTATCATTATATTTTACTTTTCACACTAATATTTTTTAAATACCAAAAATTATCCTTCTTGATTGTGGCAAAATATAGAAGGCAATTAGGATGGAAGAAGTGAAAAAGCCTGACCATTCTGTTCAAATATAGGGAAAGAACTTGGGTAAAGAAAATGGGGCCTGGAAACGACACTATTACCAAATTGTCTAAAAGATTTTCAAATTCACGCGTTAAAAATTTTCTTTAATTTTCTAATTCTTGTTAATATTTTGACTTTAAATTAAGAAATCAACCAAAAATTGCTTAATGTTTTATACTAGAATAATTTTAAAAAATCACAATGCTTGTCAAGAAACTTGTTAGGAAAAATAAATATAATTTACATAAAGAATAATATGTACATAACTAAGAAAGTATTCTAAGGACCGGCTCTTCTAATGTCTTTTTAATATAAAAATTTAAAGAAATCTGTGATCTATGCCATTGTTGCCGCGGATACAAAAAATCTTCGGGTACGGGTTTCGGGTAGGAGCGTTTCCATTTCGGGTCACGGGTTTCTGGTTGGCAAAAATATCGATACAGGTTTCGGGTTATAAAATAAAATTCTCAATTCAGGTATCGGGTTTCGGTCGGCAACCCTAATCTATACTAATTAATAACAAATAACCGAAAAAATATTTTCAACTAAATATCAACTAATATAAAATAAGACAATTAGTGAGCATCTGGTCATACTACGGTTAAATTTAAAAAAAGGGGACAGATAAAATAGAGCAATATGCTCTAGCTTTTGCGGCTCTTCAAATCAACTCATTCGCTTAATGTCTTTGAGTGGACTTCCATTTCGCTTTTTGCGTAAGCTTGGATACCTTATCCTTGAAGGCGTTTTTCTATTAAATCAAATAATTTCATTTAAAAAATTAACTCATTACCAGGGATCGAAGTGGATGCTTTCCCCCTTTTACTACATATTTTCCTTGATTCGACTTTTGTTTCTCGAGAAATTCCAAGAAAGGCATTTCTCCGTATAATTTAACGAGGAATAATCGAGCAACACCTTCCATGTTCATCGTTTTTTTATCATTCATTTTTAAACAAATTGGGACTGGAACCTTCTTTGAGGAGCTAGATTCTCCAATTTCTTCGTAGAAAATTTTTTCAGTTCCTTCCCATTTGTCTTCTTCTACGTATTCAATCCGACATACCTGAAATGGCATTTTATTTAATGAATAAAATTAGAGATAGGTCAAATTAGTTTAGTTTAGTGATTGTTGCAATAAAACTGCCTTAATGAAATCAAGTGTTGTTAAAAATTGAAAGTAACGACCTTGAAGTTTCTAAGAACAAAATCAATCTTTTCCTCTATACTGAACATATTTCTTATTTTTGTATCAAGATGATACAAAAATACTTGCATTTCTGATCGGTGATTCATTGCTTTTTCCATTAAAGATTTTACTTCAGCTGAATTTTCATCAACCTTTATTGTCATCCACATAGCTTTTACTGCATCATCTCCTTCAGCTGCTTCAAATCCTTTTAAATGATTGTGGTCAATTTGAAAAGCGTATGTTACAGATTCGGTCCATGAATTGTCTGTGTTTGCCTGTAAAATAGCGAATTACTACTGTAAGGAAGAGAAAGATCCAGCTGGCTAGCATTTAAAACGCTCACTAGATGGGGGTTTAAGATGTATTAAAAAGAAGGTGAAAGCAGCGTCACGGTAGTGCAGTTGGTAGAGCACCTGTACGTGATGAGCTAAAGCGGCTAGCAATAATTGCCAGGAGTGTCGCAGGGTGGAAGCCTGCCCGGGATTAAACTTTTATCTCGCTCTTACTCTACACCGTAGTTTAAAATTCTATCACCTGTTTCGCATCGTGATAGCCAAATATCACCACTTCTCCATCTCCCATAAGCCTTTTCAGATGTTTTTCGTATTGAGCTTTTTCTCCTTCTTCTTCTATCTTTTTATTAGCAAGACCTTCTTCAATTAATTCTCTCTTTGCTGCATCCTCAAACTCTTCACCTGGATTTACATATCCTCCTGGAGTTGTGATTCTTCTATCTTTAATTTATAATCATTTTAATTCCTACTACGTGTTTTAAACATCGGTTAGCCTAATAGAAAATTAGGGCTATATGTGTGATTTTTTTAAAATTTAATTGCCAAACTCTTATCAAACTCTTGGCCTTTATATGAAAGGCAAATATTTACATAATGTAGTATACCTTCTGGTCTTTCATATCTGCCATTTATAACGCCAAGAAACATAAATTCATTATTTTCATTTATTGTGTATAAAATTGCTCCAACTCCTTTACTTGGCCCCCATTGATACAATTCTCCACGTTTAATAAAACCAGTACGTGCAATAGGGTTGATTGGATGTCCATGTTCACCCAACTCGTATTTTCTAATAATTATATTGGAATTATGTTTTATTTATCATGCCGTCGTTATTGATAAGCATTATAAAAGAATAACACATCAGGTTTTACACAGAGCTTTTTATAATCTCGAAAATGTTTCCGACAGTCTATTTGTATATTTGAGGACCGTGTTTGAAAAAAAAATTTTTTAGTAAAAAGAATACTTAATAATATAGAGGGATTAAGCGGATATCGAGACATTTAAAGAAATTAAGGATATATCGAGAATAGATATCAAAATATTGGAGTAAGGTAATTGTGCGCAGTCAGCGATTCGATTTAATAAATAGTGACCTATTTCAAGCAGATCCACAGTTATTGTAAAAAATCAAGAAATAAATGATGCCCTACGATGTCCACTTGAATCACGCTTAACCCTCGAATCACTTGATATCACAAGTGAATATATTTCAGTGAGGCATTTCTTGACTATGAGGTCTGAGTTAGCATCATGGTTTCTAGCTTCCATTTATCTTATATTAATAAATTAAAACTTTCAGACCCATAAAACGAGCAACGATCAATTATTCGCTTTTCATCATTGCCTATATCATGATGGATAATCAAATCCTCTTTATTATCAGTATGCCATAATTTAGCATATTTTTTAACATCTTCGACATCAGGCTTAATCCAATCAGAGGCTGGTAAATAACCTCTTAACAAATGAAGTCCTACAACCTTTACTGGTTTGTATGGACCATAAAATTCAGCTAAAAAGTAGAAATAATTAGCATTCATATATTTATGTTTATTTAAAATTTATGTTTGTTTAATCATCAAGGGTAAAAATGTAAAAACCGTCCCTCTAAACAAACAAGAACCACCCCTCCAAACAATGGACAATTTGTGCAATTGGGAAAGCAGAACTGGCTATAGCCATTTCGCCAATGCAAATGTTTATTCAGCGGCTAGGAGCAAAACAAATTTCCTTTTGATTGGATGCCTCCTCCAGTATAGCATTATGAAAAAGATTCACCTACAGCATTTAAAGTGCTTAGGCGGGGTTAAACGAACATAAGGATAAAAGAGAAAGCATAAGTAGTCGCCCTGGTAGCTCAGTGTTAAAGCTCCTATAACTGCAAGGAGGACGCAGGTTCGAATCCCTCTCAGTGGATAAACTTTTGCCAAACTCTTACTATTATATTAAACAGCAATTTTCATCATTTACTCATCCAATATTTAAAAATAAAATAAAATAATACATACAAACATCAATTTTACAAACTCCATCTTCGTTAATTATATGACAAGGACGAGCGACAGCTGGGCCGCCTTCCATATCCTCTTTATCTCCCACTTGTTTTTCTAAAGCTTCCAAGTATGGTTTTACTTTCTTTACTTTTTCAATATGGTTAGTATATTTATCGTTACCCAATTGTTCATATTCCTCATACTCTTGTTCATCATCCATAATCTTTTTTAACTCATCATTCTGAGCAGTCAAAACTCTTTCAAATTCCTCTTCATTAGCAGTTGCTCTCGGAAAGGTTGTCGCTTAAATTATTTATTATATAAAAATAATTAGTCGACTTTTGCGGTTTATTAAGGTTTTTAAATCTTTAATAGTTTTATTTAGGGATATTATTGTTGTGTCCGCACTTGCAGAAAGAATATAAATGAAAATAAATAACCCAACATCGGGCTGGATAGTGGCAGTCGGTTGTGCCACCTTCCAACTCATTGGCTCATTCCATGATGGTTCAATTCCATCTCCCATCCACAGCATGAACCACGTATACGAGAGCGCACACAGAATTTTTCCACAGTATGAACATCGGACATGACAATTATTTTATAAAATACCGTATTCCTCTATTAGAATGACATTTTGAAGGTAGTTAAAAAATAGAATGTCATGGATTTTAATAGAGGAAAGAGCTTTTTTTATTATAAACATACTTTTGTAGATTCCAAGATATTCACGCGGCAACGGTAACTGATATTTAGCCTTGTAAAGTTCTCTTGTACAACCTTCATCATTTGATTCCAAATAAACGTTTAAATTTCCTGGCAGACCTTTAGATCCCTCAAGTGCCTTTCCTTTATCTTTTGCTTCTCCTAATGCTATAAGCAGGGCCAATGCCCCCAAAGCGAGTAAGCGCATTTTTTCGGGGATTTTTTTCTTAAATAAATTGAAGAAAAATTTTTTAAGAATGATTAAATAGAGAGGAATTCACTGTATTTATTTGCCGTTGACTTTGCGTATATACAATTTTATACGTAAATCTAATAACTCCGCCTTATTTAATCTAGTAAAAGATCGAAGGAAATAGAAGAAAAAAGATAAAATTATCATTTGACAAAATTTACATATATGTACATTAGCCTTAGTTTTGAAGGCTATTCAATGCCTCCTTCATTGTAGATTTAGAAGGCCTATGTATTAGAAGGCCTATCTTTAGCCTATTAGAAGGCCTATTAGAAGGCCTATCTCTCTCTATAATAGAAGGCCTATTCTGGAAAAGGCGCGCCGAAATTTGCGGATTTTAATTTGCGGACCCGAACTTTGCGGACCCGAACTTTGCGGACCCGAATTTTGCGGACCCGAACTATGCGGACCCGAATTTTGCGGATCTGAGATTTGCGGACCAAAAATTTGCGGACCGACAATAGAGTCTATTGAACTTCGAAAATTTCAAAAATTTTAGCTGCGGCGTTAATTAGAATGAATTCAGGAATCATGACCTTATGAGATGGCCATATAAATGATTTTTTCAAGGAATTTTCTCGATTATTTAAATTAGGAAATAATGTTAAGATAAAAAATTGATAAAAATTTTGAAAAATCAAGAAAAAATCTTGATCTGGACGGATCATGGTAAACTCTGCCGGGATCATCGAAAAATAAAATTTTTAATTTTTCCTTTTTACTCAAGTGTCGTTCTTTAAATCTTGGTTCCGCAAAAATCAGGTCCGCAAACTTCGTGTCCGCAACCTTCGGGTCCGCAACTTTCGTTCCGCAAATTTCGGGTCCGCAAAGTTCGGGTCCGCAAAATTCGGGTCCGCAAAGTTCGCGCCACGCTGGAAAATGATTAAAAAATTTTCTGCGGACACACATACCACCAAGAAACTCCGCCGGAAAAAAGGTACCATATCTTTTTGATTTTCATTGTATGCGAAAACTTTATAAAATTCAAAATTTTACCCCACAAAAAATTAATTAATTAAAAAAGTGTCTGGTGATTGCGTTTGAAGTGGCAGTGGGTTAAATGGGCAGCGAGTGATTCAGGCAGTGAGGTGAATTGAGGAGTGAGGAATTTGGGCAGTAAATAAGGAAAAGTTAACAATTAGAAAGGAAAACTTAAAAAATTTTTTAAATTAAAAATTAATAAATTTTTAATTTAAAAAATTTTTTAAAAATTAATAAATAAAAAAAATAATAAAATTTTTTAATTAAAATTTAAATTAAAGATTTTTTAGCAAATAATTATTTTATTTTACATTAATCGCTGCCCTTTTATTAGGTTTGCTTACAGAGCTGTTTCGAAACAAAAAACAGTTTGAAAATCGAAATTTCGAACAATTCTGATCACTTATGTTGAACTATAGGCAAGCTAATTAAAGTTGTTTACTAAATTAAGAAATTAAAAGGGCATTCATAAGAAAATAATTTTTTAAAGTGTTTTTCTTTTAATTTCAAAACTGACGAAATAATTTCCGGTAATCCTCCTCTTATTTTTTGCCACTGATGGTCATTGTTGGCTCCGGCTCCGGAGACGGCGATTTTCGGAGCCGCTCCATGTTGGCTCCGGGCTCCGGGTGGAAAACTAATAAATTATTTTTCATTGGGGGATTTGGACAGATAAAGTGAGGATATCGAGTGATATCAGAGGATTAAGTGAGGTATCAATGGATTAAGCCGCTGAAATTACGCATAATTATTCTTCTAGTTAAAAATTTTTTTTAAAAACTTTTATTGATTTTGCGGGGTTTATCCCGCGGGATCCCGTCCCGCAAAGATTTTTTAAAAAAACCCCGCAAATTTTTTCCGCAAAAACGTTTACCAACTTGTCCTAATAATTATTTATTTTTATAAAATTAAAGTAAATTATTTTTGCGTGAAAAAATTTTTTTTTAAACATTTACTGCCCATATCACTCACTGCCCAATCATTCACTGCCCAAATCATTCACTGGCGATATCACCAGACACGTTTATTTCTGCCGAAATCACAGCACCAAACAAACATGTGTTTAAAGAATTTTTTTCTACGATTCTTTACTTTTATTTTGTACTTTTCTATACTTACAAGTTGCGAAATTTCGAAAAAAATAAAAATCACCGGATCAAAGAAATTTATTATTGTAGTTTATGCCTATTTGTATTCAATTTAATAAAATTAGCCTTTACCATTGTAAAGTGCCTTGCCCTTTCTCTTCTCAATGCTCGTGTCTTTTAATTGAAAAATTTTAAAAAATCAAAGTCAACTGACAAAATTTTTATTAAAGTGCAAAAAAAAATTAAAAAATAATAAATAAATAATTTTAATAAATTAAAAATTTTTTTAAAATAGAATTAAATTTAGGATTACCGTATTTGCTAATATAATTACACAGGGTAATTATTGTTTCAACCTCTCGCTGGAGGGGGTAATTAATAGGGCGCGGGTAATTATTTGAGAGAGGGACATTATTTCAGCATTTAAAGTAAATGTTTGCAGAATTAGCTAAAATATATATATATACAAATATTTTCTTTCCCCACAATCGAGGAACAGCTTTAATGGTCATTTAATATTTTTGTTTGAATTGTGGGTGTCTGTGTATGTTATCTCAGTATCTTCTAAATCGATAGCCCTAATATGAAATTGAGGTTAAATTAATCTCGTCTGACAAGAGGAAACATTGATCTTAAACTTTTATTTAATTTTATTTATTTCAGAAAATAATTTTAAATAATTAAAATAATTAAATAAATTATCCTTGTTTTCCTTTTGAATGATTTTGGAGGATTATGTATTAAATTATTTCCTTTCCTAATAAAATTACATTAAATACTTAGGTTGTGTTATAAATAATTAGCCCCCTTAAATCATTAAAGTTTGAAAATGTAATCTCAATGTTCAGATCTCCAATCTGTTTAATTTGCTCAAGGGGGGCTAATTATTTATGACATAACCTAAGCAATCATCAATTTCCTTCTAATGTCACCCGACCCGGACATTAGGATTTCCAACCAGGACATTTTTTAGTCGAAGGCTCCGACTATAAAGATTTTTTTCTAAAACTTTTTTTCTCGTTTCAAACCTCTTTCCCATCGCGCACCTAATCATTTCTTATTTTGCCTTTAAATCAATCAAATAAATTGCAGTAATAATAATTCATTAATTAATACATGTGCAACCCCTTTTATTTAACCAACAAAATTTTAAACACCCAAAAATAGCAGAAAAAAATTTATTTTCTCGTAATCGAATATATAATTTGATTTAAATTTTTATAATTTTTTAAGATGAAAAGAATGTTTTTTATTCTTTTATTTGGCAAAGAATGTTATATATGGAAGTAAGTTACATACCTATAATTCATTTTTTAAAAATTGTATACATAAATAGGTAGATGAGAGTTGTTAGAAAAGAATTAGTATTTTTTATTTCAACTCTTTTTTGATGTTCTATTCGAACTAAAAAAAGTTTTTCAATTATTCAAGATTTGACTGAAATTGGATTTCGTTCCCCCTCCCCTTCTCCCCCTTCCCCCCCCCCCCCCCCTCCCCTATTTTCTTTCCTCATTTACTAAAAATGGTTATGCCAAACTTATTCAAGAAAACTCGGTCTGGAACAGATTGGGAGAAAACCTAGACTTATGGGAAATACTGCGGATTAGTGTATACCTCTATAAGAAAGGTCTTGAGACTACCGACATATTTGATCTAAATTTTTTTATAATTATCCATTTAAAATTTATTTTAAGATTAAATTTTAAATATGCTGAAAAACAACAAAAGGAAAAAGAAAAATTCAAAGAAAAAAATAAAAAAATCTAAAAAGAATGCAAAAAATTTAAGAAAAAAGAATAGAATTTGTAGAAAGAAATTAATATCACTTAAGAAATCAACAAAACAGCCCTTTAAAATAAATTCTGGCATTATACGGTTATATTTTCTTGGTAACCTAGTATGCACCATCCGAACTGATTTTTGCAAAAAATTGAAAAATTATAAGAAGAAGATTAGGAAGATTAGAAAGTCTAAGAAGAAGGCTAAAGAGAGAAGGGAGAGAAAGGCTTTGAGTAAAGAGAAGCTTCCGATCTTGAGAGACACTACAAAGCAATTTTTAAATCTACCTGGGGAGATAAAACTAGACATTCTTAAATTTCTTAAGTTTAATCAACTATTATCTGTCCAACAAACCAATTATTATTTTTATTGTTTGATTAGACAAAATGAGGGAATATTAGCTTGCAGAAGACTGCATGCTGTTAAACCTATTATGGTTAAATTTAATTTTAAAGGGTT